TAATTTAGGAAGTTTAGGCAGAGATTATCTTTGCTTCCAATTAGGTCATGATACATTCATATCTCTGACAAAAAAACAACATCTATATCCTGAAAAACAAAAGAGATGTACTATTTATCTATTACTGATATTATTTGGTACGCTTTAAATAATCCTTTACTACTTAGTCAAATATACTTTGGGCCAGACCAATAAATAGAAAAAAATCAAGAGCTTTGGCATGGCGATATCTAGAAAGAATTACTATGATTTGGAAAGTGTCTATTCAAATTAATGAAAGTAAATTAATTAATTTACTAAACTGATAGCTTTAATATTGTTTTTTTTAGTCATTCACTTATTTTATATTTATAGCAATATATAATTGTGGAGATTTTGTAATTTATAAAGAATCATCAACAAGAGTTAGTAGAATTTTGGCAATCGTGAAGGTAGATAACCTACTAAAAATAAAAATTCAACATATTCTAATATTTAATGAATTGCCAAACAACTTGCAAAGCAATAATCGAAAAAAAGATCATATAGATGTAAAGTGTGGCTGCTGGATTAAAATGAGGAAAATGCTATTATCATTGTAGAACTACATAAAATTGTTAACTACATTACAGTTACTATACTTTATAATGAAAATGATATTAATGAATCTTCTTCTATTGTGATCCACGAAATTCTCTACAAATATCAAGAGCATTGGAAATTAAGAAATATTATATATTCTTATCAGCATCCCTCTGAATTTGTAGCATTAGAAGATCTATTAATAAGTATTCCAGTTTATAAGTTATACATTGACCTGTATTATGATAACTTTGGAATATTTTGCAACATTTATCACTCACTAGGTAGTGTATATATTCAAATTAGAAATTTACTCTTTGATAAAAGGAGTCAACTAAAAAATCATTTCATGCTTGGGTTTGTTCCGTTTGAAGGCAAATTTGATGAATTTATTGAACTTTTTATTTCTGAGATGAAACAAATAGAGAAAGGAAAGATAATG